CCTTGCTGATCAGAGGGAGGAGTTATACTGAGCAGCAGGGAAGAAGCTGTTCTGAAGGTGGGGAAAGGAGCTGTGCAGAGGGAGGAGTCATGCTGAGCAGGGTGTCAGAATGTTTATACTGCTCTGATATACAGGACGGTTTATGGAAACAAAGGAAAATCTATGGTTAAGGAGATTCCCAATGTATTTCCATCAATCAAAATTTACGCGAGTTCTTTCATTTGCGCCGACTTCGAAGACCAGAGGAATACCAAAGTGTACAAAATATAGAGATTTATTTATCAAAATCAGTGCAAAATAATAATGAAATATAATTAGTGACAAACAAAGAATATGGATCCGATAATATCAGTCAATTTGATAACACACGTAATGCATAAAATGTGACCGCTGGATATTAATTCTACAGATAAATTATATATATATATATATATATGTGGCTGATGAATTGCCTGATATACAGATAGAGAGTATACTTTATCAGCAATATAAATGTCGTTGTTTTGGAAGAAGTCAGCAGTCAATACTCGGCCACCAGGGATAGTCAGGTTCTCTTTAGTTCAGTTTCCTGGGACAGCCGTCCTCAGCTTCTGACCTATACCCTCTGGAATGTATTTGCTTACTGCCTTGATGTTCGATTCTCTCTCTTGATGGAATTCTCCCCCTTCAACTGGGCTCCTGATCTATATCCCCCCCTGCGGAGTGGGCTTGGTTTGATCTATCACGTGATTACTGACGTGTAACATGACGTCAAATACCCTATATGGTCATAGACTTTTCCCTTACAATCACCATCAGGGGGCGCTGTTGTTCTATGTAAAAATTGGGAACATTTCATTTAATTTCTACAGATAAGGCAGTGCTATGACCTCTGACCGAAGACCCTGGACAAGACCCATAAATATAAACTTAACCCTACCATGCCAAACTATCGGTCTGCTCCTGCAATTTACGGCTTGGGAAACACAGTCTAACTTTAGCAATTAACCATCCTCCTTAAATTCCTTGGAAGTGAGGTACTTAGTTTAAAGTTTAGACCCAGAAGTTTTCCATACATCATAAGAAAAGAATATACATTAGAATGTACCACCTAATTCTATGCACTTAAATATGACAACCCCGTTATTATAATACACACGAATATATCTCAATGGGTACACTCAAACAATATATAATGAATATAGTTGGATATATAAAAGTACACGTATAAAATTCTACTTAAAAATCAGTCAATTAAGTATGCAGATAGATGCTACATATCATATAATGTTATTATCATAACATTATAGTAAGGTTTCGTAAGGAACTTTTAAATAAGCCCCGCCTTCTATTCATTAAAGAAAGAGAGAAAAAAAAAACTCTTTAGAAATTCTTATCTCTTGTAGGGAGGCAGAGAAAGTCATCACCCCGCCCCATACAGGCCGGCACCGTCTTACTTGATGTGCTTCTGAGACCCCCACAATTTACCATCGGAGGCAGGTTTATATTACATTCCCATCTCCTTCTCTGACCGTCTCTTGTTTAAGGAAAATGAACTTATATTCACCTCATAGCACATAGACAAAATGGCCGCCAGTATGCCCATCGACACATCTGTAGAATCACATGTTTAGGCCTGTGAAATCGATTCCTTTTGGCCCAATAGTTCTGACGGGGAGGAGCTGTGCAGAGGGAGGAGTCATGCTGAGCAGCAGGAGGAGGAGCTGTGCAGAGGGAAGAGTCATGCTGAGCAGCAGGAAGAGGAGCTGTGCAGAGGGAGGAGTCATGCTGAGCAGGAGGAGGAGCTGTGCAGAGGGAGGAGTCATGCTGAGCAGGGGGAGGAGCTGTGCAGAGGGGGGGGTCATGGTGTAGGGAGGAGTCATGCTGAGCAGGAGGAGGAGCTGTGCAGAGGGAGGAGTCATGCTGAGCAGGAGGAGGAGCTGTGCAGAGGGAGGAGTCATGCTGAGCAGGAGGAGGAGCTGTGCAGAGGGAGGAGTCATGCTGAGCAGGAGGAGGAGCTGTGCAGAGGGAGGAGTCATGCTGAGCAGGAGGAGGAGCTGTGCAGAGGGAGGAGTCATGCTGAGCAGGAGGAGGAGCTGAGCAGGGGGAGGAGTCATGCTGAGCAGGAGGAGGAGCTGTGCAGAGGGAGGAGTCATGCTGAGCAGGGGGAGGAGTTGTGCAGAGGGAGGAGTCATGCTGAGCAGGGGGAGGAGTCATGCTGAGCAGGAGGAGGAGCTGTGCAGAGGGAGGAGTCATGATGAGCAGGGGGAGGAGCTGTGCAGAGGGAGGAGTCATGCTGAGCATGGGGAGGAGCTGTGCTGAGCGGGGGACGGCAGTTATACTCTTACAGCTGCTCCTGCATGGCGCCGCGCACACACTAATCCTGCGTTCCCTTCTCCCGTAGTCCTTACGTGCTCTTCCCAGACAAGGCGGTTAAACAGGAAGATGACGATGAATCTGACAACGAATCAGAAGAAGAGGAGGAGGAGTCTGAGGAGGAAGAATCTGAGGAGGAGGAACCCCCTCCAAAGAGGAGGTGAGTGTCTCTCCGCATGTTGGGGGTGTCATGCGGTGTCCCCGGTACGTGTCCTGGTGACGGTCACACGCTCTGATCGCGGTATGTTCAGTGGGGGTGGCTACACGTCCATGCGGAGTCTCCCTGGAACCGCCCTGACGTGTGCACTCGGCCACACGTGTTTATTATGGGATGTGTAGTCACCTGACCCAACAGTGAGCGTTCCCCCC